CTCTCCGCAAGCCCCGCCCCATACCCCGCCCCTCTCCCAGAACCCAGAGCGCCCACCGCGACGCTCCCCCACGAGCCCCGCCCCATACCCCGCCCCTCTCCCAGAACCCAGAGCGCCCACCGCGACGCTCCCCCACAAGCCCCGCCCCATACCCCGCCCCTCCTCCATGACGCGGAGCGCGCGCCGCGCCTCGCCGCCGTAAGCCCCGCCCCTGGAGCGCAGGGCGTGTGCTGCGACATTTCCGGCGGGACAGCGACTCGGTGACCCGCGGCTGGCGCGCCCTGGTCGACTTGCGGAGGCCTTCGGGAAAGCGGTTCGGGTATTTGGAAGTTATTGTCATTTTATACCGGTTTTGACTTTTTGGAATTGTATAAGAGGCTTTGCAGCCGCCTGCTCTCCGTCCCCCGGATCGGGGCGGGCGCTGTAGGCTGCGTCGGAGTTGCTTTGCTAGTCGTGCACTTTCTGTTTTCCTTAAAATACGATCTGAATCCTGCGGGCACCTTGAGCGCTTGGGGCAAATGCTTACCCAGGTAGTATAGTGTTGTTTAGTTTTCTGGAGGTGGTGTTGCTCTATTTCCTTCAAAATCTCGGTAATTCAAAGCTACTTCGAATTAATGACTTTGGCACGATTCCAACACCCCGACTTTTTGTGGACACAATAATTTAAAACAAAAGAGGTATGCATTGCCTCCACGCTTAGCCTCACTGGATACTAAATGCATTTCTTTAAGAAAGCAGGGGTTGCACTTTGCTAAGGGTGTGGTGTCCCACGTAATTATGACTCGGACTTTCCTATATTTTATCCGCCGCCCCCAATCTAACAAGAAGTGTGAGTTGGATGCAAAAATAAATGGCGTCTACAAGTTTTATAAACGTTCGGTGTTGAAATCATTCGATTCTTTGGGCCGGGGTGGAAAGGAGCACTCCTCCCCCGCAAAAGACGCAGTTAAGATAGTTGAAAGGGCACGGGAGATAACTTTCCGATGTGGTAATAACTTGACTCGCTGGTAATAAAGGTTAACTCATTACCTGTACAGAGCTGGTCAGTGAATTTTGCTCAGTTTCCTGTGGGCCTAGGTTAGTAGAATTGAGCTTATTACCAAAATGGTTGGTGTCTGTTCAGCGTTTACTTTGTGCCAAGCACTTTTACATGTTACTCCATTTATTGCCCACAGCAACCCTAGGAAATTTGCACCGGTGTTATCCTCGTGGTACAGTGAGGGAGACCGAGGCTTGGGGAGGTTGGGTCACTTGCCCATTGCTTTGGAGCTGAAACTTGGACGTGCTTCTCTCTGACTGCTGGAGAGCGGTGCTGTCAACCACCTCTGATCCAACCCCTCGCCCGCAGGTGCAGGCCTGGTGTAGTCTTCTGTCTGCCCAGAGTGAGAGAGAACAATGCAGAAGGACTCCGGCCCGCTGTGAGTGCACAGTGAATGAGAGTGGAATAGCCAGGAACTGCTTAAAACCAGAGTTTCTTTTCTCATCTGAAATGGGCTCTGAGAGTAGACTGTGGGCTGCATGGGGTGTAGGATGCACATGGAGGCCAGGGACCTGGGTTTGAGTCCCCGCTCTGCCACTGACTCTAAGCGAGTCATCTAACCTCTGGCATTTATTTTCATTTGTACAGTGATAGGATTGTTCTGGAGTGGTCATCCTTTAGTCCCATCCTATGATTGTGTGTGTATTTTTTTGTAACATGATTGGCACTGATTTCTTACTCTCTTGTTTTTAGAGTGCCTTTGCACTGGATTGGCTTTGGCTATGCAGCCCTGATTGCTTCTGGTGGGATCATTGGCTATGCAAAAGCAGGTATGGTTGTGGTTACTTAACCTCTTAAGAGCTCCGTGCTGTTCTTGGTGAAGAGTGGGTCTCCAGGGCCCCAAGTGCAATCTTGTTTTGAGTCAAGTTTGCTTTAGGCCCTCTAGCTTGAGTGCAGGCTGATTGTCAGTCCCAGCTTCTCCTGCACCTGCCTTTTGGTTATCTGGCTGAGCTGAGCCAGGCTTTTTATCAAATTGCTTGTTTTGCCTCTTTATCTAAAGACTCTGGGCAGGGGCGGTAGTAGATTGTTGTTATCATTGACTGCCGTACATCAGCCTCCACCCTAGAGTGCCATCCATGTCTGTGCTCGTCAAAAAGGAGGACACTTCTAGTCTTGCATAGTCATGTTTTGAAGTCTCCTCATTGAACTAGGCATGGGTGTGTTAGTGGACATGCTCATTTCTACCCCCTTCCTTGCCTGCATCCCCACCCCAAAACACACACCAGAATTCTTATTCTCTGCATCTTTTTTTTACTCCCTGACCATTTCCCTCTCCTTTTGGGATTTGCCCAAGGTCCTGCCCATGGACAGTTCTGCCCCTTGGCGGGTTAATCAGGCCTGGTTAGGAGAGGGGAATGTGGTGTGACCCTGACTTCTCTGGTCACATAGCAAACGCCTCAAAACATTTTCCCGCTTGAGAACTCCTTGGTTCTGAACTGTGCTGAGAGAAGTTCTCTTTGCTGTTTTCCTCTGTAGATAAGGGAAGTCTGGTGGATTCTGCTAATGAGATGAGTGTCTGACATTACTGTACTGGATGTGTTTGCTTCCCTCTAGGTAGTGTCCCGTCCCTGGCCGCTGGGCTCCTCTTCGGTGGGTTAGCAGGCCTGGGTGCTTATCAGCTGTCTCAGGATCCGAGGAACATTTGGGTTTTCCTGGGTATGTCAACTTCACTGTCTCCCTAGTGCAATTATGTATCCAGAATACTCTACCAAAAGTCTCTGGTTTGGTGGGAGGTGGCGGGTTCTTCACATTTTGCGGGTTCTTCACATTAAGACAGTTTCACTGCTTCTGCCAAATCCTAGGGAAGTTTTAAAATAGGGGGCATTTGTGCTGGTTCCTGTTTATCTTTTATGTACAGGATATGGAAAGGTTTTCATACCTCATGAATTTAGATTTACCTGGTGAAATTAGTATTAAACTTGACCAAGGCAGGTACATGGCTGTTAGCCATTGTGGCTGCCCTCTGAGGACTGTGTGCTTGAGCATCACTGAAACATCACCTGTCTTGGTCAGGTTTGCGTCAGTGTTGCATTTTTCCCATTTGAAAATCATTTGTTAGCTCTTTAGCATTTATAAGCTAAATGTAGAAGATGTAAGTCTTGCCTTCACGGAGACTTCACTGTAATTGGGAACATAAAAAGTGGCTCTCTGGGACTGTGGAGAAGTACCCTGTGAGGAGCTCGGGGAAAGGAAGATTACTTCTTATCAGGGTGGCTTTGGGTGCGTTTTTATTGAGCTCCACCCTTGCGTCAGACATCTGCTAGGAGTGTGGGCCTCTCACTGTCTCTACAGAACCAGAGTAGGAGAAAACATGCAGTTCTGACCCTTCCAAGTGTGATGGGGAGAACAGGCATGTTAACGGAGTGGTTTGTACAAGTCAGCTTGGGCTGGGGAGGGGTGGCTGATTTGGGGTTTGCTGAGCAAGGAGGGCCCAACTCTCCGCCCTGCCTAACAGCTCCCTCCCTCCAGCTCCGGAATGACTTTCAGACCTCTTCTTTCCCGTTTCTGATCCCACTCCTCCACTCTAATAAATGACCTTACTGCCTACTTAAAGGAAAAACAGCAGCCATCCCATGGGACTCCCTTCATGCTGGCAACCTCCAGCCCTTCCCTTCTCCTGTTTCTCGCCTCTCCAAGCCCAGTCCCTCCACCCAGGCTTTGGGTCTCGTCTCCCCTACCTTCTCAGCTTTACAGTGTCAGTGAGCCCGTCTCTTACTTGTATGCCATCTTTTAGATGGAGGCATATTCGAGTGTGCTCATCTCTCACCCATTTAAAAAAAAAGGACCTCAGGATCCCACTTCCTTCTCCAGTTGCTGCCCTTCTTCCCCTTCAGAAACTTCTCGAAAAAAGTCTGTTATACTCCATCTTCATTTCCTCATCTGTCGGCCCACTTCAGTCTCCATTTCTTTTCTCTTTGTCCATGGAAATAGCTCTTCCTGAGGCTGCCAGTGACCTGTATTTTTCAAAATCCACTGTACATTTTTTAGTCCTCATTTTATTTGGTGTGTTAGCTGTTCTCAGCACAGTACACCGATCCATTTTCCACTCTCCTTGTTTTCTTTTTTATTCTCTCATTCTCTTTTTTCAACCAGTCTTCCCTTTTAGCCATTAAATGCAGTCAGGCGCCGCATGACGATGTCTCAGTCAATGAGAGACTGCATATAGGACAGCCTTCCCATAAGATTGGGACCATACAGTCTGGGTGTGTAGTGGCTGTACCACCTAGGTTTGTGTGAGTACACTCTGTGATGTTCACACAACGAAATCACCTAACGATGCATTTCTCAGAACGCATCCCTGTCGTTAAGTGATGTGTGACTGTACTGAGGTTCTTAAGGCCTGATTCTTGATCTTTTTTATACTCTCTTGTTGACAGTGTCATTGAAGCCCAGGCCTTAAATTGCCACTGATACACAAATGACACAAATTTACTTCGCCTCCAAGCTTTGGTCTTATATGTGCAGATGTCTACTTGAAATCTTTTAGGTGTCTCAAGGCATCTGCCCAAACCTGACTTCATGTCATCATACCCATTCATTTTTGTGGTATTCTCCATCCATTTGTGTCTCCATTGCTCTCTTCCCCTCCATCTTTCTGTTTAATTCATTTAAGTCCCATCAGCACTGCCTGCAGCACATGTCCTAAATTATCCCCTTCTCTTTCTGCACAGCCACCATCCTCATCCCAGTCAGCACTCTCTCTTGCCTGCATTCCTGAGGAAGTTTCTTAATTGGTATCCGTACATGCCCTCTGGTTTCCTTGCAGTTCTCCATGGTACCGGTAGAATTAGATTTTCAGAATGCAACTCTGTTTACGTATCCCTCTGCTTAATATCCTTTAGTGGCTTCTCATTGCTCTTAGGATGAAGGCCACAATCCCTAATCTGGCCTGCAAGGCTCTGGAGGGTCTGGCCCTTCTTCCTTAGTAGCCTTGTCTTGGTTTCCGTGCCATGCTGGCCTTTCATCACAGGGCCCTGCAGATATTCTTCCTTCTGCTTGGAATGTGCTTTCCTCCCCCTCAGCTGGTTAACTGCTGCTCTTCAGATGTCGCTTCAGTCTCCCCTTCCTCGGCGAATCCTTTCGTGATCTCTCTCAGTAGGCTGGATCCCCTATTTATTATGTTATTGGTATTGCATTAATTGTACCTGTAACACAAATTATACTTTTCTGTTTTCATGTGATTCTTTCAAGTCTGTCTGTCCCATCAGACTTGAAACAGTGTTCGGGCAGAGACCTTTGTTGATGACAGTTATGTTCTCCAGCTTCTAGTGCAGCGTATGGCATATAGTAGGTATTTTAACAGATCTTGAGTGGGAAGAGCAGACAGGGTAAATAGAGTTGGCAAGGAATAGAAAAAAAAAACCTACAGCAATTTTGGAGAAAATTAAGAAATTGATGTCTGAAGAGTGGTAGGAGGTGAGGCTGGAAAGGCAGGCTGGGCCCTGTCTATGAGGACCTTATATTCCAGTATTTGTACTGAATCCCATAGGATGTGGGTGGCAGTGAAGCTCCTCCCACTTGGGAAAGGTGGCCTCTGGCCCTGGAAAGATGGGTAGGACCGTGGTCACTTCTTTTAGTTCTCCTGAGTGTAAGATATAATGATCTTTGACTCTTTTCATCTTTCCCATCAGCTACATCTGGAACCTTGGCTGGCATTATGGGAATGAGATTCTACCACTCTGGGAAATTTATGCCTGCAGGCTTAATTGCGGGTGCCAGGTACCTTCCATTTGGTTGCTGTTCTTCTCCAGTATGGAGTTAGTTTAATGCCCTGAATACTTTGTACATGCAGATATTTACTTGTTTTAGTATACCTGATGTTGGCCATCAACTGAAATGATTTAATATATATACAAATAGAGAAGGCTGTAAAAGCAGTAGCAGAGTTCATGTCGTAATGACATAGTGTATTCATCTACTGAGGAAGCTGTGTGCTCTCACATTTGCACGCCAGTCCATCCTGGCTCCTTCCTGCCGTGCAGGAAGCTTTGGTGCAGAGGCGCGACAGCAGTCTGTGTGACCGTCAGTGTGGGCACCATATTGTTTAGTTGCGTGGGTGTCCTTTATTATTGAAAATTTTGCTAGAAAGGAATTATGATTGAATCCTGTTTTCTAATTAACTTGGATTATAAAACGCAAACTAGATTGTTGTAAAAAATGTAGTCCCTAAGTATAATAAAGAGACTCTGAAGATAGGGGAATTTTAAAAAATCTGTTTTGGAAGAAGATTACTTACCCAACTTTGACGATAGTTATGATGCTGTCAAGCATAATGTTTTATATTCATGTCGACCAAGGTCAAGAGCAGTAAACCGGGAGGCTGCTGACCTACCGTTCAGTAGCTCTGTGACCGTGAGGAGGCCTTGGTCTCTCCAGCCTTCATTTTTCTCATCTCTGGATTATTGCCAGTTAGAGTAGGAGCTCCAGCTCACGTGTACTGTTTTAAGGCCTCAATGCAAGACTGCCCCTTGGTGTGATTTTTGTTTGGTGCCTCTGGGGATGGAAGTTCTATCTCTGCCTGCCCTGCCTTGGCACCTCCTCCCCATGCAGTGAGGGACCTGCAGAGTCCTAGTCCCTTACAACAATAGTCAAGTGCCTGTTCTGTACTTTACCTGACGCTTTTTGTTTATGTGTTTTTTTTGAACAGTTTGCTGATGGTCGCCAAACTTGGAATTAGTGTGTTCAGTAGACCCCATCAATCATAGTCATGTCCCAGCTTGGACTTGAAGAATTTTAAAACGTCCAGTATTCCTAGTGTATTAAGAGAAATAAGTGCAGCATTTTCATTTATTATGACATCTTACTTAAAAAAAAAAGAAGGCCCTGAACTTTGCAGGGAAAAATAATTAATCACTATCATTACAGTCTTAAAGAGGTGGGTAGTATATAACACAAGAGCTTATTATTCTAATACCCTCATACGTTTTGATTCTTGTTTGTTGATATTATCTCTTCTTTCTGTGTCTGAAGATAAAATCTCAAGGGGTAAAACATTAGGTATCAATGTTGGGGGTCCTGAAACCCCAGACCCTACTCAGAGGAACAGTGTGAAAAAAATCTGATGAGATTTAGCATATCTGTTCTTTTGCTCATCTTAGAGCACAGCCCTACTCTGAGATAATGTTAAATGAAATATCAATGAGAATAAAGTTTACTATAAATAATATTTTCCACGGTGTCTTCGTTGCCAGAGCTGTCTAGAACGTAGAATGAGATGTGAAATAGCAGAAAGATATAGGAACACAAAAGTGTTCTGTTAATATTTTATGTAGTAATTACCCATTTCAAATAAGGACCAAGGAAAATTATTATTTGATTATACATTCCGTTGAAGCTTGTTTTAAATAATGATCTGTAGTGAGGATTTCTAAGATTAGGACTGTGTAGCCAAAAGAAAAAATGAAATTTTGGCTAACTAGTTAATCTGTAAATGTGAAACTAAAAGATCTGCCTGGAACTTGAATTACCCTGGGTGGTGTCTACATTGGACACATTAACAGGATACTGACACATTTTCACTTCGTTTTGTTGCTTTTCTAAGCATTGAGAATTGACTCATTCTGGTACTCCTTTAATTTTCCCCTCTTTGAAAAGGAAGGGGTATTTGCTCCTTACCCCCACTCTAACTGATATTGGTTAAATTTAGAGTATAATTTAGGTACTTAACTAGTTGATTTTATGTGTTTGCTTAAGCTCCTTGAAAGGAGTCCTAGTTTTCTCATCCTTGTTTTATATGACACAGTTTTGACATGTCTGACGGGGCCGTTCTTAAAGCATAATGCTCAGAGCCCTACACAAGGGGTATGACCAGGGTACTATATTCTAGACCATGCATTTCTTTTAATTCTGCAACCAGGGTCAAAATAAAGACTTTTGAACAGCCCCATCACAGCAATGACTCATTAAGCTTTTGGTCTACTAGGACCTCAGGTCTTTTTTCCTCACATACTGCTACTAATAGTAACTACTTATAGATAGTATAGGGTTGGTACTTGATATCACATACTTGCAAATACTTCAACGAAAAAATTGTTCCATGCCACGACTAGAAGGACCTGCAACTAGGGTATACAACTGTGTACTGGGGGAATTTGGGGAGATAAAGCAGAAAAAAAAAATTTGTTCCATAATTCCTGGTGTGGTCAATGATTACCTTTTATCATAGCAGTTATCCCAAATTCATGATTTAAATAATAAAGACAAATATATTTACAAACAGCTCATTTGTACATAGTATCATTTCATGCCCTGGAGAATTGGATTATCATGATCTTCTAAACAGAAGTCTTGTACAGTCTAAAGGAAAATGGACAAAATCAAGTAGGCAGAACATTTCATTATCTTTTTGATATTTAAAAAATTTATTTTTATGGGAATGTGGGAAAAAGAAACATTAGTTGTAGTTAGAGAGTTTACAAAGGTTCAGACACGCACAGGTGGCCTGGATGTTCTCTTGCATGTTGAAGAGCTGTCTGTGTATTATATACGTTTACAGAGCTAACCTTCAGCTTTATGCTTGTTTCCCAAACCCTGCTACTATGTGAGGGCCAAGTAGAAGTGAGCATCAGTTATGACTTGTTCCCCAAATGTTTGAATCATGAATTATAAGGGCAGAGGCACAGAAAAAGATTGTTCTAAACAAAAAAGCATTACTAACCCTATATTAAAACAAACACGGGGCTGGCCTGGTGGCACAGCAGTTAAGTTCGCATGTTCTGCTTCTTGGCGGCCCAGGGTTCGCTGGTTTGGATCCCTGGTGCGGACATGGCACCGCTTGGCAAGAGCCATGCTGTGGTAGGTGTCCCACATATAAAGTAGAGGAAGATGGGCATGGATGTTAGCTCAGGGCCAGGCTTCCTCAGCAAAAAGAGGAGGATTGGCAGTAGTTAGCTCAGGGCTAATCTTCCTAAAAAAAAAAAAAAAAAAAATATCAGACTCATTTTTGGTTCTAAGCTAGTTGTTTGGTGATTGTCATGATAATCCTTTGTCACATAATCCTGTCCTCATTGCTTTGAAATGCCATCTTTACCATGTACTGAATTTCCATATTTGGGACTGATTTTGGGTTTTCTAGTCCCTTCCTTAGATCTACTTCTATCCCAGTGCCAAATTGTATTAATTACCATAGATTTGTACTATATTATGATATTTGGTAGGGCAAGTCTGTCATTGTTCAAATTTTTCTTGACATTTACTTTCCCAGATAAATCTAGAATTAGCCTTTCAATTTTAAAATTTATTTGGGATTTTGATTATGATTGCATGAATTGTAGATAAATTTGGGAGGAATTGAAAGTTTTAAAATACCTACTCTTCAATCCAGGAACATTGTATGTCCCTTTGTTTAATTCAGTTTTTTAAAATGTCTTAAAACGATATTTTAAAGCTTTATTTAGTTCTTTGCATTTCTATTAAGATTATTGCAGGATATTCTATATTTATGTTATGAATGGGAACTTTTCATATACATTTTCTGCTTAGGTATCAGTCTGATCAAAATTAATTTCTGACATTAATGTAAATGCTTCTGTCTGCTCACTCAAGCATATTACTTGCCTTAGGTTTTTGTCAGCTACCTTTATCTAGACCCATGGCTTTATGTTAAAGGTAGAAATAATAGGATATTTGCTATCACTGACAAGATTCAACATTGTTCTAGAGACACTAAACAAAGCAGTAAAAAAGAGAAATAAATCAAGTGTAAATTAATAGTGAACAAGAAATTAAACATTTTGTATAGATAACTGTCTAGAAAATCCAAGACAAGCAACTGAAAACCTATTAACACTAATGAGAAAGTTCTATAAACCAGCAAGAAACCAGATCAATACCAAAAACCAATAGCTTCCTATCAGTTCTCTTCCATACCATTGCTAATATTACCCAAGTCCAAGCCTTACCATCTTTTAAGCTTCTAATAGGACTCCTTGTTTCATGCTTTGGCCCAACAGTTCATTCTCTACCTAACAGGCAGAGACATATTTCAAGTAGAGACTCCTGCACTTAAGACCCTCAGTCGTCTCTCACTATATTTACATCTCCATTAGTCTCTGTAACATCCTGGTTTTTTGGGGTTTTTTTGTGAGGAAGATTGGCTCTGAGGTAACATCTGTTGCCAGTCCTCTTTTTGCTGAGGAAGACTGGCCGTGAGCTAACATCTGTGCCTTTCTTCCTCTATTTTGCACGTGGGACGCCACACAGCATGGTTTGATGAACGGTGCCTTGGTCCATGCCAGGATTCGAACCCATGAACCTTGGGCCACCAAAGTGGAGCACATGAACTTAACCACTACGCCACTGGGCCAGCCCCTGTAACATCGTGTTGTTAATAGCACCCATCATAATTTGCAAATATACAATTTTTTGTGTGTTTACATTTAAAGTCTGCCTCCAGAATGTATGTACTATGAGGTCAGGGAAAAATTAGTCTTTTGTTACTACCATATAAACTATACTTAGTACATAGTAGGCACTTAGTATTTGGGGAATACATAGATTGATCAAATCTACTTTTTAAAAATAGACTTTATTTTTTAGAACTGTTTTGAGAAGAGAGTATAGAGTTCCACATACCCCACACCCAGCATCCCTTATTAGTAATGTCCTGCATTAGCATGAAACATTTGTTACAACTAGTGAACCAATACTGATACATTATCATTAGCTAAAGTCCATACTTTATTCAGATTTCCTTAGTTTTTAACTAATAGCCTTTTGCTGCTCCAGGATCTCATCTAGGACACCACATTACATTTACTTATGTCTCCTTAGGCTCCTCTTGGCTGTGACTGTTTCTTAGACTTTCCTTGCTATTGATGACTGACAGTTTTGAGGAGTACTGATCTGGTATTTTGTATAATGTACTTCTATTGGAATTTGTCTAGGTTTTTTCTCACGATTAGACTAGGGTTACAGGTTTTGGGGAGGAAAACTACAGAGGTGAAGTGCCATTTTCATCACATCATTCTAGTTACATATATGAACCTGATATCACTGTTGATGTTGACCTTGATCATCTAGATGAGGTAGTGTTCGTCAGGCTTCTCCACTGTGAAGTTACTCCTTTTTCCCCCTTCCCATACTGTGCTCTCTGGAAGGAAGTCACTGTGCACATTTCACACTGCAGGAATGGGGAGTTGTCCTCTACCTCCTTGAGGGCAGAGTATCTACATAAATTAATTTGGAGTTCTGCTGCATGAGAGGTTTCTCTCTTCTTCCTCATTCATTCATTTATTCATATCACTGTGGACTCGTGTATTTTCTACTTTGGGTTATAATCCAGTATTTCTGTATTAATTTTCATGCTCAAATTGTTGCCGTTTTGGCCAGTGGGAGTTCTTTCAGTTGGTTCCTGTGACCCTTTGGCATAGCTCATGCAGGCTTTTTTGCTTCCTAGTTTTTTGGGTTTTTTTTTTTAGAACTTCCTTACTTTCTGGCACTGTAAGATGCTCCACGCTCATCTTGTATATTTCATGTCCCAATACTGGAATCAGCCATTTCTCCAAGGAGCCCTGGTTCCTTTTATTGGACGGTGGTATTAGAAGCCAAGATGTGGGTACTAGGTAATGCTTGTTGCTAGTGGGGTGAAATCTTTTATTTCATTATTTTCATATTTTATTTCACTGTATTGATATTCTTTTAATTCCTTTTTACTTTTTAAGTTGTTAGTCTTTTTTTTAGTTTCTTAAGCTAAATGCTCAAATTCAGCATATTTTCAGTGCTTGTTTTTTTTTTTGTTTTTTTTTTAAAGATTTTATTTTTTCCTTTTTCTCCCCAAAGCCCCCCGGTACATAGTTGTGTATTCTTCGTTGTGGGTTCCTCTAGTTGTGGCATGTGGGATGCTGCCTCAGCGTGGTCTGACGAGCAGTGCCATGTCCGCGCCCAGGATTCGAACCGACGAAACACTGGGCCGCCTGCAGCAGAGCGCCCGAACTTAACCACTCGGCCACGGGGCCAGCCCCTCAGTGCTTGTTTTTTTCATAAATACTTTGGGTATAATTTTTTCTCTGAGATCTGTTTTTTCTGAGTTTTACAGGTTTTAATACAGCAGTCTATCATTCTCCATTTCTAAAAGTGTATATTTCTTTTTTTTTTTTTTTATTTTTCCTTTTTGACTTAAGTGTTTAGAACAATATTTTAAATTTTTTAAGTGGATAGGTTTTGCAGGCATACTTTTTTATTGTTATATTCTACTTTTATTACACTGCAAAGAAGTTGCTTACATATTTCTACATTTGAAAATTTGAGGTTTTCTTTCTGGCCTAATATAAGGTCAATTTTTGTGCATGTTACATGTATTTGAGAAGAATGTGTATTTTTCGTTACTGGTCAAAGTTCTATATGGTATATACATTAGATAAACTTTGTTTACTGTGGTATTCGTATACTCAGTTACTTATTTTTCGCCCCTAGATCTGTTTTCTGAGAAAAACCTTGCATTCTGTGGTCATATCAGTTTCTTCTTGTATTTATGTCTTTGCTTCATATATTTATGTTGTTTTAACATTTTATTTTAAAAATTTTCAAATCTACAGAAAAGGTTCAGTAATACTTAGTTTCACCAATTGTTAACATTACACACTCTCCCTACCCCCCCATATTCACACACACACACACACACGTGAACATAGATGTAAAAATCCTCCACAAGATATTATCAAATCAAATCTAACAATACATGAAAAGAATTATACCTCGACCAAGTGGAATTTATTCCAGGTATACAAAGCTAGTTCAGCATTTGAAAATCAATGTAACCCATTACATCAATAGGCTAAAGAACAAAAATCATATGATCAATGATTATAACAATAGATACAGAAAAAGCATGTGACAAAATCTAACATTCATAATAAAAACTTTCAGCAAATTAGGAATAGAAAGGAACTTCCTCAGCTTGATAAAGAACATCTACAGATAACCTACAGCTAACATGATAAATAATGGGGAGAAACTAGATGTTTTCCTGCTAAGATCAGGAACGAAACAAGGATGTTCATTCTCACCACTTCTATTGAACATTGTACTGAAAGTCCTAGCTAGTGCAATAATTCAAGAAAAGGAAAAAAGGTATACTGATTAGGAAGGAAGAAATAAAACTGTTTTTGTATGCAGGTGACATGATTGTTTATGTAGAATATTTCAAAGAATCAACAAACTCCTGTATTTAATAAGTCATAACAGGTATTAGGCTACAAAGTAAGTCATTTGCTTTCTTA